TACTTGAAGTAAATACAAATGAACTTGCTTTGCTATTGCATTGTTCGAAATTATATTTTGAATAACTGATTCTGCTTCATTATAATTATTAACCTTTGTTTGATCAAGCAAAAAAACAGAACCAATAATACATTCAAGATTTGCAGAATAGCCAAGATGAGAAAAAACTTTAGTATTATCTGTTATTGCAATAACTGGCCCTTTATAGTTCATAGAATCGGCTAATCTTTTAAAGCGTACCATATTTTCTAAACATATACTTGTGTCAGACATACACTTACCAGATTTTTGACGCAAAAGCCTATATAAGAAATATTTTAACTGTTTAAGATTATATTATATAATCTATGACCTTAAAAATTCTAATATCATAAATAAAATAATAATTTAATACAGTACCTAATGTTTCATAATGTTTGTCCTGCCAAATTGGCTCGAAAAAAATCATATGCTTTTGTGCTTAGACTGGAAAGTACAGCTATAAAATGGATAACATCTTCAAAATATTTTAAATTTTAAATACCTTTGGTATGATCTTCACGTTGAGCTATTTGCATCATTATTTTACATAGTTCTTTAAATGTAGTTTTTGATTCAAATGTACTATTTAAACCTTTCTCAGCTAATTTTAACCAAAATGGCACTGAGTTATTTTTATTGGTATTAGAAATTGAAGTTCAGAGTTCTTTTATATGTAGATTTCCAAGAAATTTCAAAATCAGATTGTTTCTAAAATAAAATTTTGGTGTGAAGCGTCAATTTTCTGGTTTTGGCATGGGTTTAAAAAGTGCATTCTAGAAGATATATAATAAATAAATAAATATAAATATAAATCAAAAAAAAAAAAAATTCAAATAATCAAAATTTATCTTAAAAACTGGATCCTTTGTAAGTAAGATATATTTCGCGCATAATTGTTTAATTTAGTCAGTATATATTTCACACACTGAACTATGTATGTATAAACATTTTTGATCAATCTTCTACTTAGACCTTGCTTATAGTTCATCATTAAGTCTTTTTGATTGATTGGAACTAAGCTTAGAATAAGAAAATTTTGTATTTTCTGTAAACTTGTCTGGAAAAAGTTCTTGTGCTACTATTTTGACAAGTGGAGCTCCACTGGATACTGCAAAACCACCAACTTATTCAATATATTTAAGGTACTTCTCTTTACATAATCCAGAATACAGATATCTTTTATGTGATGGTTCATCTTGAGAATTAGAAACTGCAAAGAATTTCCTCAAATCTTGAAATCCCTTGTTCTTAATACATTTGTTATTAGACACATGGGATTCAATTCGTAACTTATCATAGTTTCTTTTTAGTTTAATTGGTTTTCTGCAATGTTTGCATCGTACACATAATGGACTCAAAATTTCGAGTATATCTAGATGATTGGCCAACTTTGCTTGCTAAAATATAAAACTAATTAGATAGATATTAATATAAATAATATATTTGATACTATTCTTACCTTTTCTAAAGTAATTTTTAAATTCATTTCACGATTTCGTTTTTTTTTAGATATATGTTCTTGAGAAACAACCAATTCATTATTTAAATACTTATCATCTGTTGTTTTATAGTCATCAGATGTTTTATAATAGTCTAGCAATTCATTATCAGACTATGAAAATTCAGTTGGAGTAAGCAATAATTCTAAATCTATCAAGAAAATTTAATTGCAACAATAAGTGTCTATTTAAC